TTCTGGAGTTGCATTCTTCTAGGCACATACAGGATGAGCTGTGGTGAGGATTCATCTTGCAAGAGAAAAACATCTTCTCTGGACTCATAATCCACACATTAAGGTTCACATACGACCAATACTTATGCTTCTCCACAGTACAAGCAAATGTGATATCTGCTCCTGAAGTTTCTCAGTACGAGTAGTTATAGGTGAAAGTCTCCAGGTGCTTCTGTCAAAAAAGCCTTCAGCTTAGGCAGAATGCCAAGATAAATTACTGCAGGGTAGAGTTCCTAGTTTTACTAATCATGGCAGAATCTCACACTAATAAACACGACTGAGTTAAAAATGAAACATCCAAGACTAACTGAAACTAGGTAGTAGTGCATGGGTGTGTTCTGGGAACATTTCCATTCATTGGATATGGAGTTCAAGGAAATAGCATTCAGATTTGAAGACAATAATAAAATAAGGCAGATGGATTCAATATCAGCAATGACAAAAGATTGTAGCTTTTAAGAGTTAACTGCCTGATACTGATTCACTTGATCAGGTACTATGCAGAAGTACATAGATTCTTGATGAGCAAGGGGATGAATTGTTTGGACATAGGCAGAAAGTTCATACTGAATGGTGGAGTAGTGCAAGTTGCTGACTCCTGCTTCTAATTTGCATGTTCACAAGTGTCATTGAATGAGAGATTGTTCCTGAGCATCTGCAGTCAAACATGCAGATGATCTAGCCAATGTGGTAGAGACCATTTTGACAGGAGTAAAAACAAATTAAAAAGTTGTACAAGTACTGCTAAATCTGAAAAGACAAATTCAAGAAAAGGTGCCATATAAATGCAAGCCTTTTGTTCAATGTTAGGCTCTTTGAACTGAAAACTGAAAATGCTGGAGAATCTCCATGGAACTGGCAGCAACTGTGGAGAAAGAGTTAATGTTTTGTTTTAAGACCCTTTCAGCGTGAAACATCATCCTTACTGCTCGTTTAAAGTTTTCCCAAAGAAAAAAAAATTCGTGACAGTTTCTACAAGAAAATAGATCAAATGAGAGAGGCTTTTTAAAACAAACAAGAAAACAAAAGGAGCTACAAGTCAAAAAAAAAAATCAGATTTACTTATTCCCAATCATTTGCTTCTTCATTATTGTACTTAAAGCTTAGATAATAAAACTGGAATAACTGTTAACCAGTAAGAGATATTAAACTTTAAGATACAATGTGCAACAAAACACAGAGGCAGGACTTACATGATTAATGGCAAGACCTTGGGTGGTACCACAGAACAGAGGGACATAGGTGTTCAGGTACATAAACTTCAAAAGAATTACATGATGCAAACAGAGTTGGGGGGGGGGGGGAAGTGGGGGAGCAGTCCTGCTATAAACGTGATTATAGCACTGGAATGTAACATCTTATAGAAAATCACACTCAAAGTAACAGGGTCTATGGGGAAAAAAGTGAGGTTAAGGGGGCAGACCACAAAAAAACTCAATTCTTCCTCACTCACCTAAAGTTTTGGCACCGTGCCAGTCACTCATGTGAGCCTTGATACTTAAAAATCTATCCACCTGCAACAATCTGCATCACAGCCTAGCCCATTGCTGATGTGACCTGAAATTCCATCAGCATAGACTTCTGGACAGATGTTCAGATGTGAAGCAGAGGATTCTGACTTTTTCTTTCTTATGCAGCCCATTGACATCGAAGTTAATCGTAAGCTTTAAATGCATTATAAACCAGAGCAATACTGTATTCAAAAACTGTGCTGAACAAGAACAGGTTGTAACAGACAACTTTTGGTATAAACTGATTTACGTGAGCAAGTTCAAAAATTCTTAAATGAAACAAAATCTAGGCAAAAAATTACACATAAAAAAAGGTGCATGTTTTAAGAGCATTCATTATTTTAAACTATGCTTCTTTGCATTTAAGCTGTTTGGCATAAACTCTTCAAGCTAAGACTTCACATTTTCCTAATAAGACAGTTGTTCTGTGATATTATATTTGAGGCTTACGATATACAATCCAATTATCTGTTTCAAATGAGCACATTATGACTTACTCTGAACATTTACATCATCTGCAAGGATCGCAAAAGAGTTTTCCTTTGACAAAGTCCATGACGTTGACACACATTCAATGGAATCACATTATAGCCAGCACAAGATAATGTTTTAGAAATAACATTCCCCTATTCAATCGCATTTAGCCAATTCACATTGCCAGAGTACACCTTGTAGCAGAACCCCCATGTAGACAGGATGTCTAAAAAGGTATTTAGTATGCTTGCCTTCATTTGTTCATTCATTTGAGTATAGGAATTGGGAAGTCATGTTGAGGTTGTACAGAACATTGATGAGGCTTCTTTAGGAGTACTGTGTCCCGTTCTGGTTGCCCCACTATAGGAAGGATATTAATTAAGCTAGAGAGGGTTAAGAAGAGATTTACCAGGATGTTGCCGAGTATGGAAGGTTTGAGTTATGAAGGAAGGCTAGGACTTTTTTTTTTTTTTTAGAAAAAGCTGGAGCATAGGAGGCTGAGAGGTGATCTTATAGGGTTTATAAAATCATGAGGGGTATAGGTAGAGCTATTGGTAGGTGTATTTTCCCTAAACAAAAAAAAAAAAAAAAAAAAAAAGTGGTTCACATGTGGAATGAACTTCTGAGGAAGTGGTGAATGCAGGAACACTTACAACATTTAAAAAGACACTTGGGTAAGTACATGAGTAGGAGAGGTTTGGAGGGATATGAAGCAGGCAAGAGGGACTAGTTTAGTTTGAGATTATGTTCAGCATTGACAGGATACTGAAGGACCGGTTTCCATTTCTGGTTTCCATTTCTGTGCGACTATGATCATGCTTTTTGTGCTAGTTGCAGCTGTTAGTAGTTCAGGCCCAAACAAAGATACGCCCTAGTGGACTCACTACATATTACCATAATAGAGCTCCAAGGATGTAGGCATGTACACTATGTATGTACAGATAAAAAGGTACCAAAGGCATAGTAGATATTAGTGGGAAAATATTAGCAAGTGTTTACAGGTCAGGAACAGTCAATTCCACCTAAGAACATGGCAGCATTTATTCCCTCACACACTAAATATAAATACCAACAGTGAAAGTGTTAAATCTGCCAATACATATGCTTTATTATTCTAAACTTCAATATTTAGCCTTCTGTTGAAGGTCATAGACCTGAAGAAATGTTAACTTTTTCTTCAATTTTTTTTTTTGAAAAAAGCACCTTATCTGCAGCATTTGTGTTTTGTGATGTCAAAGCTTTCCTTTATAGAAAATAAACATTGCACAGTTAGGCAAAAAACTTTAGAACATTAAGTTGAAGTGGTATACATTTCTAAATGCTTCCATTCAGAATTAAATAGCCTTAAATAAAGTTTTGAAATATATACAAAGTATAGCTACTGTAATTTTAAAAACATACTGTATTTATAAACAATGAAGTTTTAGTTGACCACACTCCATCTAGTGGCAGAGGCTGGTCAGTGGCAGCAGCACTCCAACACAGATGGGGCAAGGGATAAATGATGGATTGAGGGCTGGGGCAAGAACAGGAGGACTGTGGCAGAAGCAAAGGTAGAAAATTCTTGAAAATAGATTGGTTGTGAACAGGAAGTCTGAAGTTAACATTGAAATTCATTTTGAAGTTAGAAAACATATTTTACTTAAACCATGAAAAGTGACAAGATTTAACCATGTTTAAAACACAAAAATTATTATATACCTTGGCACAGAGGACCCAAATGAGTTACATCTCATTGGCAGTGATGGCCTACCACAAGCTATACCTGTTACTATTAATGCCTACAAAGAGAGATTGGGCAAACTGGGCCTATATTCTCTACAGTCTTGAAGGATGAAAGGTGACCTTGCCAAAACCTACAAACTACTTTCTTATACAGGGACAGATTGGGTAGATGCCAGTATGGTGATGTTTTCCCTGGTTGGGGACAGAAGAGTAACAGGCACAATTTAAAGATGGATGTCAAGAGGAGATTGTAGGCTGAATGGCCTACACTTGTTCCTGTTCTATGCAGAGCATTCACAATTCTAGTTTGCCAATCTTTGCAGTGCATACCCATTCTCCAAGCTAGTCTTGGAGCCAATGAGGGACCAGGGTCCTTCTGAGCAGCACTGACTCCAAGCTATGTATTAAAGCTGCAATTTAAATTTGAAAGTTGTAGCAAACTTAACATTCTCAAAGGGATATTGGTTGATGCATCCTACACGTCACTGAATTAACACGAAGCATGGTAGAATTCCCTATATAACAGGGGTGCCTGTGCCGGTTCTTTGACAGCAATTCAAAATTATGCCTATTGCCCTTGCCCTTTCCCTGTATCTTTGCAGAAATAAGCACTTCATTCAAACTCCTCAAACCCCACAACCTTAAAATTCCAATTTTGGTATTTTATGAACTCTTCCATTCTTTAAACCTAGCTTTACCAGATGTGTCTTCAGCCACCCAAGTGCTAACTTCAGTTTCAGATTGTGCTCCTGTGAAATTTCTTGAGTCATGTTTATGTTAAAAGCAACACAAAGTCTGTTATTCAACTTCCATTTTAAGAAGTGGTCTTTGCCTCAGTTATTTTCCATAACAAGAGCATTCAATTCTCCAACTTTATGCAAAGAAATTTTGCTTAACTGGTCCCTTTATTCTGTTAAAGAGCATTCCAAGTTGTCAACCCAGTCAACAACTCAGCGGACACAACCACCAGGATTATTTGATTGTTCATTGTATAAAACCCCATGCAGAAAAATGTGCATGTGTGGTAGGTTTCTACTGCTCAATAAAATATTAAATCAACTAAATTCTAACACTTAAATAACTTGTTTTTATAAAAAAAATTTATTTTGAAAAAGTTAACCTTGAACTGAATGACCATCCTTTGCTCAAATCAAGAGTCAGCAAAAAGCAGCAACAGCTTCAAGTTTTCAATGTTTGACTTCTGTTTGATACCAGTTTCATGCCTAGAGAGGAGAGAAAGATTATTGTCTTTCCTTTATATTTGATATCTGTTACTTGGACTAGTTTTAAGTTTGCCACATGTCATGAAGTTTAATACAGACTATGCAGAATTTCACACTTGCCATGTTTGAACAAGGATAATGAGCAGTTGTCCTACAGAAACTACCCAAGACAAAAAGAAGCCCATCACAACTGAAGAATTCTCTTTTTCAATGGCATCTCAATAGCCTTGACAGTGGGCAAGAGATTAAATTCTTCAGTTACTATGGATTTTCTCATTTCTGTACTATTGCCAGCTGTCATATTCAAAATTCTAGTTGGGAATAACTAATAAGTTTGTTTGTTTCAAAAAAAAAAATGCAGTATCAATAAAGCTTTTGAAATGGAATCACTGCATTCCTCTTTCAAGTCTTTTCTGAGCTCAGATCCATCAAATGCATCACAGTGATACTGAAATTTCAATTTGAGAAATCTCCCTCAGAAGATCAAGCTAGGTTACTGCTTCACCAGAAATTCAAATCAAAATTTGAACTTCCCATTGCTCGCATACTAGTGGATATATTATGTCATGGGATTCAAGGCATTTTAATCAAGCTGATATTTTTAACCAAGTCAGTATACAGTAAAATGCCTCGATTTTTGATCAACAAGAACTAGTTGGCTTGGTTTTTCATTGCCTTTTACCATGTGTAATTAAAATAAAAGTAGCACTTTGAAAATTTAAACACAGTCATAGGCAACCTTAGAAGTCAGAGGAATTTATTCAGCCGTCTGGACTTGTTCATCACGTTATAGGAAAACTTGTATGTACTTAACATTACATTCCACGAGCAATCAGTTTTTCAATTTTAAAGATGATAGAGGAGTTTTGTAGCCTACTTAGCCAATAGGGTATGCTGAAACTTTGATGTTATAGCTGAACATAACAGAACACAAAGACAAATTCTAAAGTTAGGGTCATACACAGTAACTTCCATTTAGCACAGGGAATATGAAGCCTTTGCTCCATACTAAATGGAAGTACCCATGAAGGATGTAAGATAAAAGTTTGAGTACTATGGCTTATCTGGTTTTGTTATTTTTAAGATTAAGGACTTGGTTATTTAAGATGGAGTTGAGATTTTTTTCACTCACAGGGGACTGAGCCTTAGAGCTACACCACAGTAGAGTGCTTCACCATCAAATGAATTCTAATAAATTCGGAGATAGAAAGATTTTGAATTCACAGAATAAGTCAGGAAAGTGGAGTGGAGGTAGAGGAGCAGCCATCATTGAATTGTGAAACAGGCTCCACAAACCTGGAGGTGGTCTTCTCCTGAAGGTCTTATGCTTTACGAAGTTAGTCCAGAATTATTTTGAATAAAAATCAGATTGCTGGAACTGGTCACTGCACCCAAAACATTAGCTCTCCTTTCTCTCCGTAAGTGCTACTTGAACTGCTGAGTTTTTCCAGCAATGTCTGATTTTGTCACTGATTTCCAGCATCCATAGTTTGTTTTTAAATTTGTGAATTATTTTGCATTGTTTTAGATTAACCTGGTGTATGATAGAATAAAGACAGGAGAGCTTGGATGAGCTGGAGAATTGCATAGTTTTGTCCCATTTACTTGAAGAAATTAGTGGTTGCATCAGAGGCAGTTCAGAGGAGGTTCACTAGCTTGATTCCAGAGATGAGGGGTTTGTCTTCTGAAGAGACATTAAAAATTAAGAATGAGAGGAGATCTAATTAAGGTATATAAAAGTGTTTAAAAAAAAAAAGGTGATTGATACAGTAGACAGAATGGAGATTGCCCTTGTGGAGCAATCCAGAATGAGAGGTCAGTTTTACATTAAGGGGGTAGCAGATTTGAAATAAAGGAGGAATTACTTTCTGTAAAGGTTTAATAATTTGTAGAATTCATTACCCACAGTGCAGGGGATGTCAGGCCACCAAATGAGTTTAAAGATGATAAATAGATTTTTAATTAATAATGGGTTGAAAGGTTACAAAATGCAGACAGGAAAAAGGGGAGTTGAAGCCAAGATTAAAATCATATTACCATATTGAGTGGCAGAGCTGGCTCAATGGGCCAAATTGCCCACTCCTCTCCTCATTTAAAGTTTTAAGAGATGAATGATGGCCAGGAAGGTACTTTAATAGGCAAATCTGGGAAGTGATATAAAGATACGAGTGTGGGTTTTAGTGATTATCTGAGATGGAAGTTAAAGACATGTAACAGGCAACTTATGTGATGGAGAGAATACAGTTGTGCATTCACTTCAACTCTTCTTTTTTACCCCCCATTATAATTACTGGTTGCAAATGGGAAACAAGCATGAGGAAACTGATGAGTATATATTTGTCAAAAATGTTTTACACGTACTTACATTGTGTTTCACTGCACAAGTCTGTAGGTAATGTACCTTCCTGCAGTTTCACTAGGTCTTATAATCTTAACCACCTATAAAAACAGGAATAAAAAAACTGGAGTCCCACTTTAATGTTTTATACCAGTAGCAATGAAGCAAATCTCGAATCAATAAACGGCAACAAACCTGTCCTCTCTTCAATCCAAAGTATCGTGCCACAGGATCACCTGCTTGTATTCTTGGCAATTGGCTCTCCTTTAACTTGCTGGTAAACATACTTAAAGCAAATAATGGTTACCCAGCAAAATGCAGAGATGGTCACTTATTTTCTGTTAACTGACCAACTTTTATTACTTAAATTATTTTTCTTGGTCATGTTAAACATACAAACAGTATATAGTAATCAAAAAGTTGATTTAATATCCAGCCAACTGCCTCACTTCAAAAAAAGTCTTGCTATAGAAATGAGAAACCTGAAAACTGATATCAAATTATGGTAAAGAGCAAAGTGTTCCAAACTGCTTACTGTAGGTGAATTTGAGACAAAAAATTTAAAGAGTAATGGTGGGAATTAGATAAGAGATGGTAGCAAACAAAATTCAAGAATTAGGTGACAAGGCAGCTTTTGAAATTGGTGGGAGACGCAACCGGCAGAGAGATTCAAGGAGAGAGTCTTAAACATGCAGTCAAGATAGCTGAAGACTCTGCTCCTTGTACTGCATCTTCAGCATAGGGGTGTGCAAAGGATGCCGCTTGGAGCGGTACAGGGAGTGTGTGCGTGTGTTCAGTCATGACCATGCATCATAATTCTGTGTCACCTACAGCCAATTTTTAGTTTAAAAAAAAAAAAAAATTAAGAAAAGGGAAAAAGGACATCCAAAATAACTGATTACGTTGAGATTATAAGATCTAAGCAATTTTGTCAATGTCTGGAAGGCCTGAAAGAGTGCTCTCCTACCTGGAGGGGGACCATGGATGTCACATCAAAAATGTACCAAGGAAGACTCAAAAGGGGGAAATGTAATGCCAACTGAAGTGTAAAGTCCTGCAAAGACTCAGCAACATGGGAGAAAAGTCTGGGTGAGAGACATGGTTGAGTTTTCCCCCTTGCAAGAGTACACAAGAGCAGGGATTAAAAGCCAGTTTCAACCATGATCTGTCCACTAGTGGATGAAGGTGTGTGCAGTGAGTCACAGCAGAGAAAACCCCTAGTCATCTTTTATACAGGAAAGTCTTTTTTTTTCAAAAAACTGGGAATCAGAAAGAAAACAAAACCAGAAGTAAAAGGAAGTAGGTCAAAGGCATTTCAGCTGATAAGCACCTTGAAATCAACTGCTCACATATCATCAATATTGATTGAGCTAATGTCACCCAAAATAACACCAGCATAGACTTCTTGCCTACTCTTCAGAATAATTCATATCTTTATTGAAGAAAAACCTCTTTGGACTCTTTCTAATCTGTGCATATGTGTTGTGCTGTTAATTTCTTCTCTCATTTAGTAACTAAAACTCACATTTGTCAATTCGAGAAAGCCTGGTTAAACTGGCTGCTTTTAAAAGATAAATTAATTTGGTCTGGGAGAATTGAACCCACAAAGGGATAATCACAAGATTAATCTTGTGACCAATCGAGGGGATGGATGGACCAGGAACTGGTCATAACAGTACTGAAGTAATCTTCAGGGACAGGCAGGAAGGTAGTGAACAGACTTGCAAACCAGTACAAGCATTTTGGACTTGGAGATTGGAAACAAATGACAAGAACAGGAGAGTTCTGTAGCAGATGTGGTATAGAATATAGGGAACAGAACTTTGAGATGTTACAATTTTGTGAAATCAATTAGCATTGGTGTTAAGATAATCCTCAAGTTGCAAATTCACAAGCAATTCTGGCATTCAGCAAATAAGTGGACAAGATACAGGTCTTGCATAATGCAGACCATTCAATCTTCATTGTAATTTCTTGTTTAATGTTGTAGCTGTATTCCTGACATTGTTTTATTTCATGTTGCACTGTTAAGCCGATTAGATTTTCCCATTGTAACCAACATAAAAGCTTTGGTTAGGCTTAGCAGGGCCTTTCTTGATAATAAAACAGTATGCCTCAATGTTAAAATACTGATTTTTAAACATGTTCTATTTGTAGATTAAATAAGGTTTAAAACAAACAAACAAAAAAAAAAAAAAAAAACTCAACTTGTTACTCCTGCCACCATCCCACTGGTACATTCCCGGTCCCAAACTCTTGCTGAGCATGGGTTTGGTAGACGAGCAGCAAGAGGCAGGAAGTTTATGGAGTTAGAACACCTTTGAAATTGTAGGGCCCTAGAGGTAATTAATCCATAATGTTGAAAAGGTAACAAAAGTAATTGCTCCAATACGGTGCCAATGGTTCACAGAATCCTACATCATATCCAGTGCAAATCTAGATCAATGTAAATCACAATACAAATCAGTCCTATTACAAATGATATTAAATTGTAATAACCTACAAGTGGGGTAATGAAGTCTACACTAACTATACTTAATGTGAAGATACTTACTGTCCTCAGCAAGCAAAAAATAAAAAAGGGGCACAGAAACAGTTGAGCACACAAGACAAAGAAAATCAAAGGTTTGATTCACAGTTTGTACGAGTAAGCCGACTTCTGCTGGGATAGCAGGAATGTAAGAAGCGACTTAAGATTTGTTGAACTTGTAAAAAGGAAATTTGTTTACTTTGGATCCACTATCTGGTGATTACTGCTTGCAGACTGTGGAAATGAAATGAGAAAACACTTGCTTTTCCCTATGTGGTCATAAAATTTTACTAATCAAGGGTGACATCACTTGATAAGAATAAAAAAGACATTTGGTCAGAAGGTAGCAGAAAGGAACCCATTGAAAAAAAAAAATCTTTGGAAGGAGATCCTACATCTACAATGCCAAATTGTAAATTCAGAAAATTGGTGTTGCTCTTTATAGCCAGGTTAAGAAAGGTGAAACTGTCCCAAGAACAGGAACTTGTACATTCTATGCTCTGGAAACAGTGCATTGGGTAACTGCAGATTTGCAAGAGGAAGAATACAAAATAAATACTGCAGAGAAGTTAAAGGGAAGCATGAAGAACAATTCTACATAGTAAAACTTAATGTAGAATTAGGACTTGAAAACACCCCATGAGGAATCCCAAAATTCAGTTAATGCATTGTCAAAGTTAGTTTTGAAATTTGTACTTTAGCAATGTAACCAATGTAATCTACAGAAAAGCATAATTCTAATAAATCAAAGATAGAATTGCCATCATCTGAAATTTTAAATATTTTCAATATAACACAAAGGATACTATCGTGCCAGCAGCTCTGTAACTTCCTCCTTGGTCATGACTATGTGCTCTGGAACAAGCTAAAAGAACATAATTACATTCAATTTGTTTACAGAAAACAAGATCTACTTTAGATAGCCTGACAGTTTATACATTTTGATTGAATTTCTTTTACAATTTTTCCCAGTGCATACTTAATTATGAATTACTTTCATCACATTCTCCTTTGATATAGCGCCTGATTTTTACTTTTTTTTAAAAAAAAAATCAGCACAGGTAAAAAAACCTTGACAAAAAACTATTTTCGTGCAAATTATCATTCGTAAGATGTTACATCAAGGGTTATGCACATGGTATGTAGAATACCCGTGTTGGATATTAAAAGAAACAAAACCTACTGAGCATTTCTAGTTTATTTAAGAACAGAATTCTGCTGGATGACATTTTTTGAAACCCAGAAGTAGTCCCGATTAAATAACAAAACCAAGTTAATGACAAAGGTTACACTATGACCCATCATGTACATTTAAATTTTTCTGTACAGTGAGTTGGAAAAGATTTGATTCAATTTTCACCATCTGCTGTGGCAGGGTTCGAACCCCGGTCCCCAGAACATTACCTGGGTCGCTGGATTAACAACTCAGTGAAAATATCACTCGGCCACTCCCCTATCAAGCCAATAGTCTATTTCAAGGAAGTCTTGCAGGGAAATAAAACAAAAAAAAAAAAAACTTACTTCATGTTCTGTAATGTTAATCAGGAGTTCCTGTTGCAGGAATTGCTCAAGGATATACTTAGGAGCCATGTCAACTAGAGACTGCAGAAAGAAAAATCAAGTAGAAATAATCCCTTTATCAGTTAAGAAAAATTATGTTCATTTTACTGTCAAGAACATGGATATTTTGCTCAGTGTACTTCATTTCTCTTCTAGTCACCCAGGCTCAGAAGCTGACAGAACATTCCTCCCCCTGTGGGCAAAGTGCTTCTCTTGCTTTAAGATGTTTCCAAAATATTGCACACAATCATGTAAAGGCATCCAAAACTAATACTTGAGCAACAGTAAACATAGTAAATTTGAAGATACCAAATTTTTTCTTTCCTCTTTTCCAGTAAAAGCAAAGGAAAGTCTATAAAAATATATGAGTAGGCCAGTTAGCCCTTCAAACCTTTTCAATCATTGCAGAAGAGTAATGCCCCAATCTGTATAACCCCATGCTTAAGTCTGTTAATTAAAATCTATCATCCCCAGTTGTCAAGTTAACAACTTAACGTAGCCTCAAGTGCATCTTGTGGAAAATGTACAAACTGCTATCTTTTAGATGTGGAAGCATTTTGTAATTTCACTATGAATGTCTAGCAATATTTAGACTTGCGATCCCTAGTCCTTGATTTGAAAAACAGCAAGAACAGTTTTTCCCCAAGCATCATATAGTACACCTCTGATACACCTCAACCCAAGTCACACACTGGTTCACAGCATTCAAGAGTAGTATATTCCAACAACCACAATATTTCATGATATGAATTTCAACTGTTCTACGACTGTCTTGAAGGGAAAAAGGACAAGACAGGCAAGAAATTTGACCTCATTACCTTGTGAGAATTGCTTATACTACCTAATTTCACATTAGTGAGATTTCCTGTTTTAATATACCCGCATAATTTAGTTTATTTTTCTCCACTACCTTATTTGTACATTTGATAACAGAAATGTAACAGCAGGCAAAAGAAAAGTTAAGAAATTTTGGTAATAATTAAATTTCCACTTTATACCTGCTTTGCAGATGGGGTCATCCCTTGTTGTACCACAATGATGGCTCTGGTAATATTTTCTTCCTGCATGCGTTGACAATACATTTTAATGGTTTTGATCCCAACTTTTGGCTCCTCTGACAAAGGAACATTTTTTAATATCAGTTTCAAACAAGTCTAGACAGTTCATAGGGGAAAATCAGTTGGAAAAAAAGCAAGTTTACTGTTTTCATTGACTAGACCAAGAAATACCACATGGTTTATATAAAACAGAAAAGCTGAAGACCCAGACAATAGGTCTGGCAACATCTGTGGACAGAGAAACACAGCTAACATTTCAAGTCTGATAGGACTCTTTCATTCAGCATTTTATAACTGTTATTGGGCCACTTTTTCTTTTCAAGTACACAAATGAGGAACGTTAACCGGAATCAAGTTGTCATTACTGAATATTCATTGTTGAATAAAGAGTCAATTGAAGACACACATACTGCCCCACCAATTAAATAAGTCAATAGGCTTGCTGGTCATTATGTCTAGTAATCAATTTACGGCAGTATGTGTAGTGGGAGAGAAGTTGGAAGTGCTGTTTATATTAGAAGAACAGATCTCAAACTCTATGTATGCAGTTCCAGGAAAAAATATGGTATTTATAGTTAACCACTACCACAGAAAGATGAAAGGTACCATACAGTGGAGATGATCCTTCTCACATTTGACCCCAGTTGCTTAAGACTAGACATCAGCATCAATAGGTAACCATTTCTAATCACCTTGTTTAGGGACATTACATCACACTCCTGAGTGGGATTGGAACTTGAACCCAAGCCTTCAGGCCCAAACAGAGACACTACCACTACACCACAAGACTTTCATCTCATATCCATGTGGTAATGACGTTCCTCCTGACTACCAGCCACTGGTAATCGTACTGACTGGTGGTGGAAAGATGGATTACAAGTGATTCAACCCTAAAATGCAGAAGGAAAAACCCACATAATTTAACTTGAATACCTGGAAAGAAAACAAACATCTGATCAGTGGGGTCATCATTATGAGCAACAAGCACGGTCAGGTCTGAACGTCGTGGCCGCCCTTCACTTGGCTTGTCTCCAAATTGACCCCTAAATTCTTCTAGTGTCTGATCCAATTCATCTTGTGTCACCAAATATCCACGATCATGACAAAGCTGTGAATTATGAAAGGATAAACATTTCTTTAAATACTTTTCTCCAGTTGTCAGTTTTCTATAGTCTTAATTATTCAGAAATTATACTGACCAAGGAAAAAAGTGTAAAACATGTGGAAAATGATTCAATCCCAAATAGGTAAATTCAGAATTCCACTGTAGCCAAAGGATGATTTAGCTGACACCAGAATATAGATTGAAGCAGGATTTGTCAAGATATTGCAAATTGAAAGCTTCTCTCTCTCTCTCGAGAAGACACTTTCGAGCCCACTGGCAGGAAATTTATATTCCAGTTTAAAACCAACATTAAACATGCAGTAAGAAAGCACTCATTAAAAAAAAACTTTGTTAATGCTTTCTAATATGGATTCATCAGGGCATTTCATAATACAAATTCAAAGGACAAGTTAATATTAATACTGCAGAAGGAAAAAGAATGCCAAAATGGTTGGCAAGTGATCCAATTGGTAGTGGCATTGCCACAGAGAATGCACTCAATGTTGATTCACAGTTAACAGGCAAGCTGGACATAAATTTTGAAGCAGGCAGTTGACTGATTTTGCTGCCACCTAGCCCACAGCTGTAACCGACTTTGCTCAGTTTAAACAGCAACATTTCATACATATCTTCTGTCTACAAACAGCAGAGCCCTGTGTATTAATGTGTAGCTTCCAGGACACACCCCAAAGATTGACATTCTTTCAAATAGCTTTTCACCAAGCTATTTGCAGCAAGGTACTGACAATACCCAACCAGGCCAGGCATGCAAAACATACAATAGTGTAATATTAGATGCAATTCTGAAGTTGACAAATTTGGTGGATAATCCTAAAAGAGAGAAACTAGACTGGCAACCAATTTAAGATCATTCAGGTTCAGCATAACACATCTACATGTATCGGATGGCAGCACCAGCAGGCCAACATCTACAGCCAAAGTGGGATTTGTAGCCCGGCAGCAGCCTGGCCTGGCAGCAAAGCTGGGGTCTCCAGGTTGTGGGGAAAGTGTGGGTTCAACAGAATCAGAGAAGACAGCCCAGCGGCAAAGAAGTGGCTCCTGAAGGGGAGCAACTCATATGTTGGTGAATCTAGGACAGGTGGCAACAAGGCAGTGGAGGTCTCCCTGGAGGCTTGGTACCAGCATGGACTGGACCAGAAAGACTGATTGTGAGCTTTTTACTTATTTTCCTAATTTATTCCTATGACAAAAAATGCTGGACTATTTATTTCTTTACTTTTCTAACATGCTTTTTTTTGTTTCCTAAGCATTTGATCTTAAGTAGCTGTACCTGGTACCTTTGTACCTAAGATGGCACTGTAGTGCAACAACCATAAACTTTTCACTGTACTCATTCAAGTACACAAGAATAAAGGCAATTCAATTCAAGCTACATATTTTATACAGGGCCCTGTTACTTACAGATAGAAAGGACATGGACATGGACATGGACATGGACAATGCCTGTTTCAAATCAACAAAATTGGGAACAGCACTCTCAGGTTCATTGATGAATAGAAGCAGCTGAAGATGGCTGAACATAGGAAACGCCTCTGATGAACTGCTGATTCTTTTAGTGCAGTGGTTGTGTTTCTACTACTGAGCCAGAAAACCTGGGTTCGACCAGCTCTAGAGGCGGGAAATGGACAAAGTTGATTAAATATACCGTTCCTGATGAAAAAATAAGAGGAATTTGCAGCAGTGGTAATATCCCTGCCTCTGAGCTAGGAGACCCAGGTTCAAGTCCTTACTTGCTCTAAGTGTGTGTAACATTTCTGAACAGGTCAATTCGCAAAACACCTGATGAAATGCTATAGTGGTCGTCGTGAAGCCGCAATGACCGACCACTAACAACCATAACCATCTTCCTTCAACCAGCAAAGCTTTCTCTCCCCTTCTAATAAGATGCAGCTTTGCAAAGGCTTCTTGACACCACATTCTTGCCCTCACTTGGGGGGAGGAAATAATGGAGGGGTGAAGATAGCGTGGGGAAAAGGGGATGGTGGCAGGAGGAAGAAAATAAGGAGGCGTGGGTGAGGGAGCTAGGAGAGATTG